TTGGGCTGGACGATTATTTTCTCATCACTCATCTTGAAAAAACTTAAACTAAAAACTTGGAAGTCAATCAATCCACCATCATTAACACTATGGGAAAAATCTAATGATTTATTATTGAAATAGCATGGGCGACTGAGATAAACAAATTGGTACAATTTAAGACCAAGTGGCAAACAATAATGCAGGCAGTAGGGATGGAGGTGTGAGCAGATGAGATGTCCTCCTCCTCCAGACCAGAAATGGGTGCCCTTATAGCTCCTCCCACCAGCCTCCTCTGGTTTGTTTATGTAGTAAAAGGACCTACAGAAGTCGAAATGTAACCGCTCTAATATCTGTCAAACTTAGCTTATCTATACATTCATAGTATATCATGTTTATGTATGTATGTAATGTTTTGACAAATAAAAGCTAATTGTTTCTTTCTACCTTCCTGAGAAGTCCTTGATTTATATTAGGAAAAAAAGATCACATACCATTACTGTTGTCATGCTTGTTAATGTTGGGTTTGGGAATCATTCAGGATACCTGTTGTCATGCTTCTTAATTTTGGGGTTGGGAATAATTCAGGATACCTTAATGCTGGGTTTGGGAATCATTCAGCATACCTTCTTAGTGCTGTGTTTGGGAGTCATTCAGGATACCTGTTTGGTCAATAAAGTATAATATATTGTTATGATTATGCAACCTGAATGAAAAGACGAGTTAAGTTGTGATTACAGCAATATGTGTAGTTGCGCCATTCAACAACAAGATGACGCTATTGACCTGTAATAAAATAAAAACAGCTTGCATGAGGTAACAAGTTGCTTTCTTTCACCAGTGTGGGTCTTCCAGCCGCTTCACATATGAGCTGAAACCCTCCAAACAACTGGGTAGAATATAATATTATCCTTTTCATAATGGAGTTGCGCGGTGTGAGCATCTAGCGCAGCCATGACTGTCTTGAATGCAGATCTGTATTCTCGCGGTGACAGCACATATCTCGTTCTGGTAAAAGAGGGCTACAACAACAAGACCTGTCAACTTTCAAAATCAAGTGTCAAGGTAAAATCAAGCTTTCTAACATGTTCTAAAACGTTTCCAAATATAGAAAGCGTAATTTAATAATCGGATTTTTTGTCCACCCGATCAACATGTGTCAACAATTAGCATATTCAATGATCTAGCTAGCTAGCTTGCTAACGAGCCATTAGAAGCTATATAACTAGCTAGTTGTCATAGCAAGCACGTTTGTTTATCTTCAATACGATGTGTTGCAAATCACCATATTATTTGTTATTAAGAAAATGTTAAAAATATGAAGTGTGAATTGTTCATTTATAAGATGACATAAATCCATTGGCTACTCGGATAGTAAGTTAGCATGGCTAACTAGGCCGTTAGGTAGCTAAGAAGGCAGCTAGACAACTTAATTTCAGTAATCATGAGTCATTTAGTGATTACAAATCAAATGTCAGTTTTAGATGTCGTTTGCTTTAAACTATATTTCTCGTAATGTATCTAGCAGTCAAGTGAGCCGACACTCGCAAAACGCAGTCAAGGCATCCGCGTTCAGTCTCCTCCTGAATGTGGTGCGTGAATAAACAACACTTTACGGTACGGCTTGAATCAGTCTCATTTACGGATATACGCTACAAATCATTCCAAACAAACAGTTTGAAGCACACTTATTCAATATTCCACAATAAAAATTATACCAAATCGTTTTTCATTTTTACGGCGTTTCAAAAAATGACTTTCATATCACGGCCACGGGTAGAGTGATGCTGCGTTTAGATGGTACGAAGTAGACGGCAAACCGGATGCCATTGTTTTCAATGAGAGCACGACGGTAAATGCCGCCACGGTGGACGCAACTTGTCGCCACAGTTAAAATATTTCAACTTTTGCCGTCTGCAGTAGCGTTGGTTTCTACCGGATGTTGATTTGACTGCGTTTTGCAAGTGTCAGCTCATTTGACCGCAGTACTCCTTAAGGTCCAAGGACCTTATACAGGCCAGGGGCGGTGTGTTCATTAGGGCGATATGGGCGACGCACTGCCAAACGGGAAAAGGAAGGGATTTTTTTTCTAATCAATTATATCACGGCAACAGTAGTTATCAGTGTTCTAATCTAGACGTCTGATCTGCCACTAAATGTCCAATCAGGCTAAAGTCGTGCTTCAAATGGCCCCGCCCCTTTTGGGGCGATTTCAGTCAGGTTGAAAATCGCCCCAGAAGTCTGTCATAGCCTCTCATGTAAAATCTTTTTTTTTCAAATATCAGAGCTTTCAATACAATCTCTATGGGTTTCTGAGGGCTTGCACTTACGCGCTTTCGTCATACGTAACATAACCATGAACGTAACTAAGAAAAGAGCGGGTAGCAGCGTCAATCAATTCACGTACTACTATCAAAAGATGGCTAGCGTTCAGTGCAACTCGATTGTCTCTTTGAAAGAAGTTCACATCAAAGACCATTCAAAACGAGCTACTGGAGTGTATGCTAGTGGTCATGAGGGAACATTGTGGAGGAGGTGAAGTCGGCGAACTTCGTAGCTATCCAAGCTGACGAGACCACGGACGTTTCTACACAGACACAGCTGGTGCTTGTGCTGAGGTACATAGATAGCAACCACAAAGTGCAGGAGCGCTTTTTTGAGTTCCTTCCCATCTCGGAATCAACCTCAGTCTCAATCGCCAGTGTGCTTTTGGAGAGACTGAACGGTCTTTTTGACGACGACGAGAAAGTCAAACTGTGGTGCACTGGCACTGTACCAGGTTCTCATGAGCTACAACCTCCAGGAGACGTTCTCTGAGACTGTGACTCTGTTGAACATCCTCATAACTACTCCCATGACAACAGCTGAAGCTGAGAGATGTTTCTCAACTTTGACACGAGTTAAGACATTCCTGCGAAATTCAATGGGCCAGGAACGTCTGAATGCACTGGCCATGCTTTCCATGGAGAGGGAACTAGTCCTCAGCATGCCTGATTTCAATGAGAAAGTCATTGACCGCTTTGCTGCATTGAAAGAGAGAAGAGAACAGTTTCAGTACAAGTAATGTAGCCTCTCTCTCTCTTTGTCCCTCCCTGTCTGTCTCTTTAACACACACGCCCAAATCAGTTCACAGTTGATGTTGTTTAAAATCGTTATTTTTCATTTTTTTTAAAAGTAAAAAAATAAATAATAATCTGTTCATGTTCATTTTTACAAATCTATACAATTGGCCAGAATATGGTTGTTCATATTTACAAATCTATACAATTGGCCAGAATATGGTTGTTCATTTTTACAAAGCCATACAGATAGCTGTGTTTACCTTTTCTAGAAATTATTTTCTAATTCTGTTTTCAGGCAAAATGTCTATCACTGTTCATTTTCACAAATCTATACAAGAGGGCAGAATATGGAAGTCTATAAAAATTTCTTATTACCAATAACTTGCATCAATGTTTTCAGTAGCCTCTATCAAAAGCTCCTGCTTGCTTGTTGTGAATTATGCTCAGGTGCACATATTTCCAATTCAACCATGAGGCAAAAAATGTGGTAAAAGCTCTTGTTGATCCTGCAATCTGAACAAATACCAAGATGCTGTATTTTCAGCTGATATTTCATTTGTTTATGGAAATGCATATTGTTTATGCAGTGTTGAGGAATGTGAAAGAACACCCTTGATTATTTTTACTGTGATAACTTATTTTGCTTTTGTAAGCCAACACTTTTGAGATCAGTCAATAAATGCTTCTGGCATTGACTTATATGCTGCCCCTGTCTTCATGTTGTTGCTGGACATATCTTTTTTTAAATGTGTGTAGGTCACCTAAATCATCAGAAAAATTGCCCCCCCTGAGAATTTTTTCAGGAGCCGCCACTGATACAGGCATACCGTGGGAAGTAGGCGTGCTGAGGGTGCTGTAGCGCCCCCAGAAAAATCTAAATAAAAAAAACAATATTGATTAAAAAAACTAATAGATAATTTCTTTTTCTCACAAAAGTAGTGCACTGGGCCTTTACTAGTCCTGTATTAGCGACAGGTATAGCCTTCTGTAGCACAGGCAATAAAACAATTTCAGCGTCGCTGCCCACATCAAAATTATTTCACAAATGCAAAATATACACTTACTGTACATTTTTAACCGGCTTTATCACAGTTGCAGCCGTCAGTATTTTTCAGTTACAACATGTTTCTGGAGGCCTTCTTCCATTACACACAGGTGATCAGAGCATGCTAAGTGGCTAATTAGCACAGGTGGGCCCTCTGTCTTCTGTCTGTCTTCTGTAAACATGCGCTGTAACATGGAGATATGGCCATGTGGGATCACTAACCCTAACCCTGTAAAGGTGTATCAATGTAAACATTTTAAAATTATTATTATTTCTCTCTGATATGAAAGATAAGATCCATATGCTTCCAAAACCGTAGCGCAAGCGATGGGTGTTAATGTTCAGACCGAGTGTCGGAGCTCTTAAACTCCCTCCTACAGAAGATACCTTCGTCCAATGACTCTTCTGTGTAATGTAATGGAACTGAGAGTCATGATCAAGGGCTAGTCAGTAAGCTTATGCTAACCCAATTATAGCTCCACATTGCTGATGTTAGCTATTGTTGCCATCGCCAAAGCAACATGAGCTAGCTAGTTACATTTACTGGCAGAGATTCATAGTGCATGGAATATCTTGCATGGTCTATCCCTTTATTATCTAAGCTGTTCCAGTATTTGATGTAACTCACCTTTCACGTGTTGTGCTTCCTCTTTTGGATCCATCTCTAGCCTTCCATGTCTGATCCCAAGTCCACAGAGTCCCTGGGTTCTGGCTGTGGTGTTCCAGCCCAGACAAGCTCACAGCGGGGTCCAGAGATGGTCTCAGTGAAGCTGGAAGACTGCAGTCAACCACTGGAACTCAATGTGATTGTCAAAGAGGAGGAGGAGGGGAGAAGAATCGAGGAGGAGAGGAAAGTAAAAGAGGTGGGTGAGAAAGCAGTCAAAGAGGAGGTGGAGGAGAGAGCAGTCAAAGAAGAAGAAGAGGAGGAGAGAGCAGTCAAAGAAGAAGAGGAGGAGAGAGCAGTCAAAGAAGAAGAGGGGGACAGAGCAGTCAAAGAAGAAGAGGAGGAGAGAGCAGTCAAAGAAGAAGAGGAGGAGAGAGTAGTCAAAGAAGAAGAGGAGAACAGGGATGTGTCTGCTCCAGATCTAGAGGAAGAGGAGGAAGAAGTAGATAGTATCACTGACCCAGGTAAGTTCAGGTGTGGAGTACGGAGAGAGGTTGGTGCCTTGGATCTAGAGGAAGAAGTAGATAGTATCACTGACCCAGGTAAGTTCAGGTGTGGAGTACGGAGAGAGGTTGGTGCCTTGGATCTAGAGGAAGAAGTAGATAGTATCACTGACCCAGGTAAGTTCAGGTGTGGAGTACGGAGAGAGGTTGGTGCCTTGGATCTAGAGGAAGAAGTAGATAGTATCAGTGACCCAGGTAAGTTCAGGTGTGGAGTACGGAGAGAGGTTGGTGCCTTGGATCTAGAGGAAGAAGTAGATAGTATCACTGACCCAGGTAAGTTTAGGTGTGGAGTACAGAGAGAGGTTGGTGACTTGGATCTAGAGGAAGAAGTAGATAGTATCAGTGACCCAGGTAAGTTTAGGTGTGGAGTACGGAGAGAGGTTTGGAGCCTTGGATCTAGAGGAAGAAGTAGATAGTATCATGACCCAGGTAAGTTCAGGTGTGGAGTACGGAGAGAGGTTGGAGCCTTGGATCTAGAGGAAGAAGTAGATAGTATCACTGACCCAGGTAAGTTCAGGTGTGGAGTACGGAGAGAGGTTGGTGACTTGGATCTAGAGGAAGAAGTAGATAGTATCAGTGACCCAGGTAAGTTCAGGTGTGGAGTACGGAGAGAGGTTGGTGCCTTGGATCTAGAGGAAGAAGTAGATAGTATCACTGACCCAGGTAAGTTTAGGTGTGGAGTACAGAGAGAGGTTGGTGACTTGGATCTAGAGGAAGAAGTAGATAGTATCAGTGACCCAGGTAAGTTTAGGTGTGGAGTACGGAGAGAGGTTGGTGACTTGGCGGCCACAGGGGATTCCAAAACTATTATTGTGCTTTTACTTCAATCAACAAGTATTTTAAATCCCCTTTCAATGTTCCCTTACTGATTCTAACATATTCTCACAGGAGAGAGCTCCAATCCAGGCTCAGACAGCGATCCCAGTACCACAGCATCAGGAAACCATAAACACAGGCAGAGGAACTCAAGATGGAAACATCATCACTGCATGGACTGCTTAACTGGTTTCTATGAGCCAGAGGAGTTGAAAAGGCACACTTGTAGACCTCGCCCCTGCTCAGATTGCATAGGCAGTTTTATTTGTCCAATTCACTTCAAATCACACCAACAAACTCTCAAAAGAAGGAAAACATATCCATGTGGTCATTGTGAGAAGAGTTTTCAGACCCCAAGCAGCTTGAAGACGCACCAGCTTAGTCACACAGGAAAGAAGACGTACCACTGCTTTCAGTGTGGGAAGAGGTTCTGTCGTGTAGACACCTTAAAGGCTCACCAGAGAATACACACAGGAGAGAAGCCTTTTCACTGCTCCCAGTGTGGAAAGAGCTTCAGTGATAAAGGAAATCGAAATAAACACAGGAGAATACACACAGGAGAGAAGACTTACCACTGCTCTGAGTGCGGGAAAAGTTTCAGTCAGTTATCACATTTAAAACCACACCAGCTAACTCACACAGGAGAGAAGCCTTTTAACTGCTCTCAGTGTGGGAAGGGTTTCAGTCTGTCATCATATCTGAAGAAGCACCAGCTAACGCACACAGAAGAGAAACCATACAGCTGTGATCATTGTGGGAAGAGTTTTAAATTGGAAGGAATCCTTAAGCGTCATCAGAGAATACACAGTGGAGAGAAGACTTACCACTGCTCTGAGTGTGGGAAGTGTTTCAGTTTGTCATCATATCTGAAGAGACACCAGCTAACTCACACAGGATTAAAGTCACACCACACAGGAATAAAGTCACACCACTGCTCCCAATGTGGGAAGACCTTCAGTAAGAAAGGTGACCTAAAGAAACATCAGAGAATACACACAGGGGAGAAGCCTTTCCACTGCTCCCAATGTGGGAAGAGCTTCAATGAGAAAGGAAATCTAAAGCAACATCAGAGAAAACACTCAGGAGAGAAGCCTTTCCACTGCACCCAATGTGGAAAAAGCTTCAGTTGGGTAATAGACTTAAAGAAACATCAGAGAGTACACAAAGAGGAGAAGCCTTTCCACTGCTCCCAATGTGGGAAGAGCTTCAATGAGAAAGGAAATCTAAAGCAACACCAGAGAAAACACTCAGGAGAGAAACCGTACAGCTGTGTTCAGTGTGGGAATTGCTTTAAATGGAAACAAAGCCTGAAGGAACATCAGAAGGCAAAGCACAGTGCAGTGCCCAACACTGACCTTATAATGGTGTTGCCAAGCTGGGCAACTACATCTAATTAATATTGACACTAACCAGGTTTCCATCAAATCTTTTTTTGCGAGTAAAGTACGTCGGATAAAAAATGTAATGAAAGGCCTGAAAATTTGTCTGTAAACTTTTCAAATGTCAACAAAACAAAATACGCTAGACAAGGTGGGATCTTTTTTGTGTCAGTAAAATGTATTATGTGAGAAATGTTGGTGGAAACGCATATTTTTTTTGCGGTAATATTGATATAGTAACCATCATATCTAAGTAAACTTGGAGTCACACGATGACGTGTGATCCTCCCACTACGACTCGTCGGGAAAGCATGCAGATTATTAGGCCACAGATGAAATAAATTATGAGGAACTTCACAGGGTGGTGAAAGGGCAAGGTGATGAGCTTGATGCTCCTTTCCAATAAATATCAAGGGTCTTATTCTGGTGACATGATCATATACATTGACGCTTGGCTGTCATGTGACAAATAAAAATAATCTCGCTCATTTGTCCATAATAATCTCATCATGTTGCTATACCCGCACTGTATCTGCGAGCTGTTGGCTAGAGCGCACGTGCCAATACCAGAGGGGGCACATTTGCTATTTAATTTCAACAGTTCTTGTGACAAAACTATTGGTAGAGTTGAAAGTGCGATGGAAACACATTGAACTTTAGATTTGTATTTGTCACATGAAAACTTAAGCCGAAAAGTACCTTCAATGTGCACTACGTCATCATGCACTGCTTTTTATCTGCAACAAGTCCTTTGGGTGGAAACTGGTGGGAAAATTTGCACATTTTATTTATGCGGATTTTAGAATATTCGCATGAAAATCTGTCGCCAATTGGATGTAACATTTGCTGGTAGTATGTTGAATTATGCAAAATAGCGAGATTTCTGACAACTAAGTCACCACTGGTCGAGTCATTGTCAGGAGTCACAAGTTATGAAAATCGTGAATTGATTACGAGTCAAGTCTGAGTCCTGGACTCAAGTACTACAACACTGACAGCCATTCCTCTATTGGGAATGTTTTATTTGTGAAAATGTTTTCTCAAAAAATGTCTCTAGTGTTGGTCCGGTCCAGAAACTGACTACAACTACACCCAATTCTGCTTTTGGTGTTTGTAGATCTGAAGAAACTGATAAACATATTATATTTTTCTTATTAAACAAACCCATTTATTTATTTTAGCAAAACTTTCTTCCAAACCCTTCAAATTAGTCAGGTTTGTCTTTAATATGTTTAAATATTATATGCAGCTTCGTGTAATTTTTTTCTCTGTCATTGTTTGTATTTATTTGTGATTCAATGTCAGCATTCTGAAACTCTGTTTGTTCATCCAACAAACTACCATGATGTAAAACTGAATAAAAAGGTGTATTACAATACCTTACTTTACTGTTTTCATGCTGCTTAGTTCTAAATGTGGGCATAGTTCAGGATACCTGATTGGTCTTTCACAGTCAGGCCAACCCAAGCTGTACTGTGCAGTAGGCTAATATTAGGCCTACTATTGAAACAGATAAACTCAGTTAGAAAATCACAATTTTTTCAGTATTTTTTATTTATTTTTTACAGAAAAATAACAACTTTGTAGGTTCTAAGTCCATAACAAAGCTTAAACCACATCAGGAGACCACTTTTGAGGTCTGGGAAAAATCAGACACATTTAGGTTTTTTAGAGTAGTTACCCTTTAATTCAAGTGTGCAGGCACCTAGCACTATTGTCTGATTAGAGGTGTTTCTGTAGCACATGAGAGGGAGTTTGCAAAATAAATGGCCACTGGATTGACGCAAATAATCATATCATTCTGACAAATAGGCATAGGCTACTTAGGCCTCCTGTAGCTCAGTTGGTAGAGCATGGCGCTTGCAACGCCAGGGTTGTGGGTTCGTTTCCCATGGGGGGCCAGTATGAAAAATGTATGCACTCACTAACTGTAAGTCGCTCTGGATAAGAGCGTCTGCTAAATGACTAAAATGTAAATGTAATTAGTTAACATTTCATTTTTGGGCGAGCCTTTCCATCTACCAGAAGACGGTTAGGACTATCATTAGCGTCGCTATATTTTTCCTGTTCCTTCATTGTTTGAAACCTGGACGTTTTACTTCATATTATGAGTCATATCTTACCTTGCTTCAAAGTAGTCTATAGCTAAAATCCCACCATAGAAACGTTGAGGCAATTATTTTTATAAAGACTTACTCATATGCGTTCTCCTGTTCTATTGGTTTTCTTTCAACTTTCTTTCATTGACTAGCAGCTAAAGGCATTATCCTAATCATATTAGCAACCCATGACAGTTGTTCCATCTTTAAATACCCCCCTCTTTCTAACGGATCCTTCCATCTCTGTCCATGAAACCGCTTGCATGTTTTTTTTTTTTAACTGTACATGTTTTCCCGCAAATTGCATTTAGGAACATTCACGTGTAGGCATACTGCCTTGTGCACATTGCTGCGCCTAAAATGTGACGAAATAATAGTTTCTCAACATTTTAATCTAAATATTCCGATCTGTTCCATCAACCCTATTAATTGATGCAGTTTATACCTCCACTCCACTGCTTTGATAGGTATCAGTGAGGATGAAGAAGTGAGTATATGCAATGCCCGCTGAAAAATAAGTGGGGATAAGGTGTATATCCTCCACTACACCACTTGGAACCGTGATAAACTGCTAAAACGGTCAAACCACTTCACATATTATTTGAGCAACACATCACTATTACTTCCAAACAAAATTGTATGAAGATATAAGATAAGATATACGATTCACACAGAACGATATTGTGAATTTGCTCAACGTGCGCATGTGGTCCCACAATAAGAGCTATGACGCTAATATTTGTGTTCACTCTTCACAGTTGTGTTCGGTGGGTGTCACTGAGTTGGCTGATACCCCATGTCATGGGTGCACACTCCATAGGTAATGCTACAGTGCAATATGAATGTCCAATGCGCTTAAAAGGCGGATTTGGGAGGTGATTTGCCACAGTCAAAGTCCTGCAAAAACAGCTACAAAGCTAATATTTGTGTAAACTCTTCAGAGTTGTAATCTGTCGGTGTCACAGAGTAGGCTGATATCCCGTTTCATGGATCCACAATCCATAGGTAAGTATGTACAGTGCAATATGCCCCTAATGCAATTCTGAAGTCTAATACATCCACTTTTTTGGGGTAAAATTAGCTAATAATGTTATTTTGTTTAGTTTATGTAACATTCCAACCTTGTTTAGCGTTATCTAGTCCAATTGTGGCATGATTTCACTATTTCCATCTGTTTGCATCAGTTTCAATGGGGGACTTTTATTTTGAAGGTGAATCGCCAATTCAACTATTGTTGCTCATGCTTATGTTCAGGTCACAGGCATGGTCGGCTCCAGTCCGCTCTGGATAAAAGCTTCTGCTAAATGACTGAAATGTAAATTTAAATAAGCAACATAAATGGAATTCAGTCGGGGTCGCAACTTACTCTTGCGAGTTAGAATAGTAGAATACACAGGGTGCAAGTTAGAAATGTGGTTGTGCATCAGTAGTTTTTCTCTTGTTTTGACAGTCGGTAGCTAGGTTTCCATTCCGATCTTCATGTGATTATACCAAAATCTGCATAAAGAAAATATTGCCATTTTCCCACCAGTGGTGTGTTTACACCAATCTGACTTGTTGCAGATAAAAGTCAGTGCGTGATGACGTAATGCACACAACATTTACTTCTACCCTTAAATGTTTCATGTACCGCATAAAAATCTAAAGTTCAATGTTTTTCCATCTCATTTTCAACTCTACCGATAGTTTTGTCACAAAAACTGTT